TAATGAAATTGATTTCTGAAAATTAATTTTAAGCAGCTGGCCACGAAAATTAAAACCTTGTCACGTGATGTTTAAAGAAAAAGGAAATATAAAAATAAAAGCATACAACTGAAGTTATATTGCGAAATTTTCTTGCATGTGAGGCACTATAAGTACATATATTTTTATTTATGTACTGTTTTTATCCTCATTTACCATAAAGTTGATTTTAATTACCAATCCTTTTTATCTTTAACGTTCAAACATTTCTACCTATTTTTGATACTCAATTAAAATCGCCAGTTTAAATTCATTTTCACTGACAATAAAAACTTTTTCCTTTTGCATTTTAACATTTTCAAATCGGAATTATATTGAGTATTTTGAAAATAAATAGATACCAATTGCAAAAATATAATTTGTGAAATTCAATATATCGAGTTCTACTTTCAATTTGCTAAGATGAGAAAATATTGAGAAATAGATTGCAATCTTTAAAAGGCTTGGAAAAAACAAAGAAGGTAAAATTATATAAAATAAAATAAGTTCTAAAAATTTAAAAAACAATAAATTTTAATGATTTTGAGTGAAAGAGTATGAAAAAAATATAGAGTAATTTAAAAGAATTTAGTTGATATAATATTAGTTAATTTTCCAGATATTATGTTCATTTTTTTCTTAAAATGTGCTGAAAGATTTTCTTCATAAAATTTTTTAAGGAAAGCAAATGGAAATTTTGTAATTCTCGAATAAGAATAGCAACATCAATTACTCTAGTCACTTTTCAACTGCTTCCTTTTTAAATTTTATGAGAAAAGCTGTCAACACATTTTAAGATAAACTTTATATAAAATGAACGTAATATTTAGAAAATTAACTCATACTCTATCAATTCAATTTTAATAATATTTTCTTTCTTTATTACTTACATTATCACCCAAACTTATGAAAAAAGTTTTAACTCAGTGTTAAAAACTCAAGGATAAACACAGTATTAAAAACAGCTTTGTTGTTTAAAACTGTGTATTCTAACATTAGAAAAAAATCTTTTTTTGAGTTTCTTTAAAATTATTTTATTAATTGTTACATGTTCACTTTTTCAGCTGTTAGGCGCTTGAGAGTATTTTTAAATAAGAATTTGGCAAAAATAGTTATTGGGATAAACTCGGTATTAAAAACCGCTTGTTTAAACCAAAATATTCTTAACATTACAAAAAATCTCAATTTGTTGAATCGTAAAACAAAATAACCATTGCCTAATAGTCGATTTGTGAGCATAATTCGTTTTAATATTGTGATTTAGTTAAAACTTTCTTTTGAAAGATAATGGTCTACATTTTTATAAGTTTCTTCGGAAGAAACGGAACGAACTATCACGATTACTTATCTTAATTCTAGAAAAATACACCGATTTAGAACAATAAAAATGCCTATTAAAGCAGAAATTAATTAAAGAAAATAAATTTGGCGATATTAAAAAACTAAAAGACACCTTTATAAGCAAATAACTGCGCACGCAAAAAAATTATAATCTTTACACTATAGGACTGGTATACTTACTTGTAATGAACCCTTTGACGCAAATGGAAACCGTTATCCCTTTTATATATTTTTTCAGATGCTCTAATTACGAGCCAAAATATATTTTGGCATTTTTATACGAAAAAATCTATCTAATAGTTAATAGTAATCCGTTTGATTGTGGCTATTGTATTTGTTCCAAAATATAAAATCAGAAATTAAAATAACTATGTTCAAAATTTTATCAATAATTGATTTCATAAATTAAAGAAATTTCAATAATGAANAATTTAAAAGAATTTAGTTGATATAATATTAGTTAATTTTCCAGATATTATGTTCATTTTTTTCTTAAAATGTGTTGAAAGACTTTCTTCATAAAATTTTTTAAGGAAAGCAAATGGAAATTTTGTGATTTTCGTATAAGTATAGCAACATCAATTACTCTATACCTATATGAAATAAAAAATCATCAAGAAAGCTGTTAATTAAAATATTAAAAATTTTGTTTCATTACAGAAAGTTGAAAATCCCTAAAATTTTGTAATTAAGTCTGTCAAAAAGCTTTCAAACTCCAAAAAGTATTATCTTGCGATTATATTCAATAAATTAATTGTTTAATACATTTGAATTACTAAGCTTTCACTTTTCTTATTGGCTGTCCCAGTTTAGTTTTAAAATTTAAAAAAAAAGGAACTTATTTATTACCAAACAATTGTCTGTAAAATTAAAGAGAAATAAATGCAGATAAATCATTTCTGTTACGCATGCTAAATATAGTTTTCTTGTCATTTAAATAACATTTAAGTAAAAAGAATAAAAAATGATAGAAAATAACGTTAGTATGATTCAAATAAATTAACTCAAAGGATGCTAATTATGTATCAAAAATGATTGATATTCACACAAATTCGAGATAAAATTATGCACTCAAATGATGCTAATAGTTTATCAAAATTGATAGAAATGCACCCAAGTTTGAGTTAAAACGATTGAATTAAGCGCTACAGATTGTTAATCAAAAATGAATTGAAATCCACTCAAGTTTGAGTTAAAATTGTGCACTGAAACTTGAGTTATTTCTGTTGACGCTTTGACTCAAGTAAATTGAACTCAAGATGATAAGGCACATTCTTCCCAGACAAATGAGTGAAATTTATCTGAAGTTGAGTTATTTTAATGCATTCATTTAATGTGAATAAGGCAATGCATGATTTTTCGCATTTATAACACATTCTTACATGTAGAACTGGCAACAGTTTTAGATATATTAATAAGTAGATTATCATTTAGCACTTAAGTTTAAAGGAAAACAGCACACGCATGTGTGGAAAGCTTAAAATTTTGTAAGTTATGTAATAAATGATGTGGGAATTTTTTGCATCTAATTGTTCTTTAGTATTGCTTCCCGATGAGTACTTTACAATTTTCACAATTTTAAAATTTGAAATATTTCTCAAAGCATAAAAATCGCACGTTAGTTTATAAAACGAAGAAAAATTTTAAAAAACAATATTAGTAATAATTTCATATTTATTAAAAAATAATAATAAAATGCACATGGGGGGCATTTTTGACAAAAAAGTACGATTGTGACGAAAAAGTACGACTGACAGATAATTTTTAAATCTCTGTTTATCATATTTAGTCATCCTGTGGCCGTTAGTGACCGTAAAGTCCAGTAAAGTTAGAGCCCAATATTCAGGGACCCCTTAAGCACGACAAAAAAATGCTCTGATAGCAATTTTTTATGAGTTAGTAAACACAGAGTGCTATACCCTATTTTTGATTCAAATTATTCGAGTTTTTTTTCCAGCACCCACCCAGTTACTTAAGTTGTTCTCAGATTTGTTGAATCCAATTGTGCTTTAGCATTGTTTTTTGAAACTCTGTCGTCAAGCAAAAATAAAAAAAGCTACAGTTTACGTGCCTTACACTTGAAGCAATGCGATGATTTTAAACTGTATATTATCATCCAACCGTAAAGAATTTACTGGGCTTCAGAATGGACAAATAACTTAAATATTTTAAAAATTACTAAACCTTTTAAAAAATCGCAACTTGACGAGATTTTTCTAACTAGATAAAAATAATCAAATCACTGCCTTATTCTGAGTTTTTGAAAATTTTTATGAGCCCAAGTAATGCAGCATTGGAGTAAGTTTTGAAATATTAAAAAATTTAACTACAAACGTTTTTTATTTCCTCAAAACTGTTGCTTTTCCCCTAATTGACGTTTTGCGCCATTTTCAGAATAAGCATCGCTGGCGTTAAATAGACTGAACTTGACATAACAGTTGCAAACTCACAGCAGTTTTAAAAATTATCATATTCAGCACAATAGAGCATCATTTCATATGACGCGGGAACCTTCGATCAATAGTCATTTACAATAAATAGAAATTTCAACCATAGTGTCAATTGTTTTTATTTTAAAAGTCAACTGTAAGATATGCCAATTTATTTATAACGCATTCTTATATAAAGAACTGACAACAGTTTTGGATATACCAATAAGTGGATTATCATTTGGCATTTATGTTTAAAGGAAAACAGCACATGGATGTCTGAAAATCTTAAAATCATGCAAGTTATGTAAAAAATTATTTGGGAAATTTTGGGACCTAATTGTTCTTTAGTATTGTTTCCTAGTAGGTACTTTACAATTTTCAAAATTTTTACTAAGTACCGTTTCAATAGAGAGGAACATTTTATTGCCAGCGTGGAAATCACAGTGCTTTCAGGAAAAATATTTTTAAATTCTCATTAACAAGAAGTGGATAATCAACCTATTGGCTCACTTCTTATGGTCATCAATTATGGTTAATGGAATTTTCCTACTTAATATTTTATTTTTTTTTCATGTCAGGTCTTATGGTAGGGTGGAAAGGTTATAGTGCGAACTAATTAACTGAACTGGTAAATGAATCGAGTAAATCAGGGTGTGTTTGGAATCAAAGTATCAATTCTTAAGTGACTGGGTATTTGCAATTAGAGAGGGCAAAGCCTCTGACCCAGTGATCTGAATATTATCCAGCAATCAGGGAGCGTGCGTCCAACAGGAGGAGGAGCCTTCTGGTATTATTATAAACTCTCATTCAACGGCAGAAAACTGAACAGCGGTGGCTTAGGTGATAGAGTAATCATCTCCCAATGAAGTGTCCTGGGTTCGAATTCCAGCGATAACAAGTTTATACGAATTCTGCATCGGCCACAGTAGTAAACATAAAATATCCTCAGAGGTAGAAGGATCAAGGGCTCTCGGGCTAACAATGTGAGTTTTTCGTGGTCCTTCGTGGTATAATTCCATCAAAATGTCCTCCATGAAAACTAGTTTATCCCATTCCAGAAGTTGATCCAGGAGTCTCTTAGCATTCTAGATTTGGTTCAGAGCTTAAGAAGTTGAGTATTGATAGTCGTATACTTAGAATCGCGATGGATGCTTAACACCGGTCAAAAAATAAAATAACAGAAAACTCATTTTTTTGAATACCGATTTTATTTCTGTTGAATGCTTTGGACAGAAATTTTATTCCGATTCGCAAATACCACCAACATCTTTGTATCCAGTATTGCAGATGCATATTTTCCCACTCTTTGTGAAAGTACATCCTTCCGCGTCATCTCCGCAGTCGCAATCTATAAAATAAATCATAAATATAAGCCTTTATTTCATAAACACAGTTTATTCTCTAGAAATACATAAAACTCGACACAATCAATTCATTGATTCAAGAGAAACTTAAAAAACTAATTAATAGTTAATTGAAAAATTATACCGCTAATATCTATTAGAATATTTTGATTCCAACCGTTTAATAATATGACTATTTTCCCTATAATATGGAAAATTCTCCTACAATACAGGAAATCAAAGAGGTAAATATATTTCCTGTGGAATTATAATAATTGTTGGAATCAAAAATGAGGTTATTTATACGCAGAATTTTTGAAAGAAGTTTTATTGACACTTAGGAGACATATTTTATTTCAAATCGGATTAATTCAAATTGGGATGGGCGTTGCCCAGCCTAATTTATCATCGTGCAAACGGAGTAATTGAGGCTAAACACGAGCTTAATGATAAGTAAAAAGCATTTTTTTCTGTAGAATGAAGATTCAGGTTACTACTGTTGAAATTAAAGATGGCTTGCTGATACTAACCAAAAATATATTTCCTTTTTTTGCCGAAAACTTTATTATGTCATTTAAAATTATATCTGAAAGCTCTTCTACTCTACGCTGCACGCTGCTTTCCCCGATTTTGAAGGAAATGGGAATGACTTGAAAGCGCATTTCTTCAAAGCAAGTAAAGTATTGCTTGCAACGTTTTTTTTCATACTGAACTGAAACTGAACTTCGAGATCCGGACTAATAATTTGGAAGGAGCCGTGGTAGCTCACGAGATAGACAATTCGTCATCCAGTGAGGTGCACCGGGTTTGAATCCCAACGATGGCTGCTTAATCTAAATTCCACACCTGGCTTGTACCGAAGGGGGGAAATAATAAGTAAAAAAATAACTAACAGTTTAGAAAAAAAAGGATGAAATTTTATTTAAAAAAACAGGAAAAAAATTAAAAAAGATATAATCTTTTCATCAGCCCACACGATTATATCCGCAAAACAGAGTGCTTTCTGATATTGTATCAATAAAGCCAAAGCAAAATACATTAATACAATAGTGTGAGGAGCACTCAAAAATTTTTTTTACAAAAATTACAACAAATAAAATAGAACACAAAAAGTAAAAATAACATGTAAAAACAGAAAATAAAATAAAAGAAAAAGAAAAAAACAGTATAAAAATGGACTATAAAGGGAGTAGCGAAATCAGATCTACTTGGACGGGAAATTTTTCAAGAATGATTTAAAATTTTTTTCGCAGAAAGATTTCCAGATTACAAAATATGAAAACAAAAGCACAAATTGAGTGTAACTAGAAGGTATTATCTATCTATCTATACATACACATGTGTGTGTGACATTAAAAGCTTCAATTAATCTTTTTATGTTATTCCTTTTCTTAATTTATTATTAAAAACGAAATGCTTTTTCACACTTTTAAATTCACATCCTGTCCTTTTCTATTTTTGGCTCAAGTATGCATTAGTGAAAAGCAAGACATTTTCTCCCTTTGCTCTTTGTGGGAATCGCGTTTGTCTATTTAATGAATAGCGTGATCTATTTAATGAATCAATTACAATTACTTAGATTTCCCTAAAATGAAATGTTTTACGGATTTTCTGTGCAAGATAATCCCTAACTTATATTTAGGAGCACAACATTCCGTGACCACTTTTATAAACGTTCGCTGTCTAATAATTAGTAAATAAATTTTGTACCCTCCTTCCTTGCCTAAGGCCTGTTTTAATCCTTCCACTGTGTGTGTGTGGGTGTGTCTGACTTCGTAACTTAAATAATAGTTATCACCAATTAATTAGCATATTTGAAGTCCCCTTTTGAAACCATTAAGATAGACATTTAGTACCTGAAAGTTCGATCATTAGAACAAAAGTTGTACAGGGTGATATCGTTTTCTTTTTTTTTTTTTTGCGCACTGTAAATACATATATGTACTTGTCTGTTCTTTTAAAATTAACACTTAGGAAAAAAAATTATATGACCACACTTCTTACATTTCGGAGAAATGGGGACGCTTAGTGTTCCCTAATGTGAATTTTAAAAAGTCCTGTTAAGAATCTATTATTGAATTGCATAAAAAATTTCACTTTCTAGAGAACAAACGATGATATAATTGTTCCCCTGTGTTATCATAAATTTGACACAGTACAAGAGGAGAGGGGGACCAGTTGTTTTCGTATGGCACTTGTCAATAGTGGCAGGCCTATTTTGAAACAGGGGGACGAGTTTCTTCTTGTTCTCTAGTGGCGCCATCTATAATCAGGAATTAGAATGCTGCCACATGCATGTCACAGTCTGTTTTACAGGGATTACACAATCGCTCAACATTCATCCATCCTCAGATCGTAATTTTGACCCGAACCAGAACACGATCAATCTCCGATTCATTACTCCCAGAAGTATGGATTTCTTTTGGGAACTTATAGAAGGATTTTTGACCTAACAGATTTAAAGCACAGCAGTCGACATTTGCTGTACGGGAAGTCTTCTGCCTGCCGGGATCGAACTCATGACCTCCTGGACATGGTACCCATGCCCTACGAACCAAGCTATCTGGGCCCCGAAGAATTAAAAACCCTTTTACCTCTGCATCTGACTCCGTTGTAGTAAAATCCCCGATTGCATGAGCACGTTTTCACTCCATCTATGAAATTACAGGATGTTGCACCATCACCACAGTGGCAAGCTGTAATTTAATAAAGAGAGCATCAATGTGTTGTATATATAGAAACTTATAAAATGAATGGCAAAAAAATAATAATACATGATTTCTAGAAGACAAATGCCTGCATTTGCAAACATTTATCGCTAATACAACAAATTGTTTTTAAATCTGACAAGTAATTTATTTCATTTTTAAGGAAAATGTAGAATTCAGAAAATTGAAAATTTTGAAGGTCGCATATTTCTAAACACTATAGTGCACCCCCCCCCTATAAAAAAATAGATAATTTTCCAATGTTTTAAAAAAAACTCGCGTATAGTTTCAATTTTAGAACAGAAAGTGGGGCACTGTCGCACTTTTACCAGGCTGAAAATGTTAAGCAAATCATAGTAGTTGACGCCCTTTTTTCAAATTACTGACTTCTATGAAATTCAATTTCTCAGGAATAATTCAACTGATTTTGCCCAAATTTTCCCTTTTTCCATGTAAAATCACATTCATTACAATGATGCAAAAAAATTTATGCATTGCAAATCAAAAACTTTTTCTGCCTTTATTAAATAAAATAATAAAGAATAATAAATATTTACTAAACATTGTTTGGTACTGAATTGTCTTTGGATAAACAAATTTAATAATTGCGTGCAAAAATCTTTCGGTTCACTTAAAAGTTCCCTAGATATTTCGAAATACGTAAAAAGTGAAATTAACATTAAGGGGTCCAAACTTTCGAGCGCTCTTCCGATCAAACTATCGGGACCCTATTTCTCAGATTGCGGATACTTCCTTTTTTTTGGGGAGTGACGCATATATTGAATTTTCAGAAGAGATTTCTTAAATTCGCGAACTCTATGAACTTAGAATTTACAAAAAAAAAAAAAAAAAAAAAAAAACGGATTATTTTGAATGACTTTTGATCTAATAAAATTTGTTTATCCAAAGATAATTCCATGCAAAAAATAAGTTTCAGTTAATATTTATTACTTTCTTATTATTTTACTTAATAATAGTCGATAAAAATTTTTAATTGTAACGTATAAATATTTTTAGGTCATTTTGAAGTATGTAATTTTACACAGCAAAATGTAAATTTTCTGAAAATTCTCTCAATCTTGAACACCAGTGTATAAATAAAACTTTCTGTTCTCGTTAAAATCGGCGTGAGGTTAAAATATGATTTAATGTCCTTTACGAAACAGGAAACAAAAGTTAAAAAAAAATTTTGGGATTAAAATACAATCTCGTAAAAGGAGAAAGTAGGTAAGCAAAGATAAATTAACTGTTCATCTGAATTATTGTTTCAAGTCGTTTCTTCAACAATCCGATAAAATAAAACATATTTGGTTACCTCACCAGAGTTGATAATAGTCTGGAAATATTAGAATAGAGATGATAAACGTTTTTAGATACTTATCTCTATTTAAATTTTCCTCTTTACGTACATTTTGAAGACTAGCAGTTCTCAAATGATGTTCAGCGGAATTTTAGGGATCCACGATCACAGGAGATCCAAAGATTTAAAGTTTTTATATCAGTATTGATTTATGAAACTTGTAAGTCTATTGGTATCCAAACAATAAACTATAAGTTATTTCATATTCTGGTTATTCTTATAAAATTATTTAATTAAAATACCAGTAGAAAATTAAATAGCAAAATTTATTTTTAAAAAATCCATGAATTTGTCTTAAGAGAGACCAAACTAAAAAAAAAAACTGATTATGCTTTTTTGATAACTGTTTTCAACGCTTATAAAAGTTCTTTATCGAAAACCTTAATTCAACTTATTTTATTCGTTCAGTTTTAGCACCAAAACAAATTCAGAACTAGACTATAGGTACCACTCCAGGCCTGCAAATTCAAGTGTTTGACATAAAACATATTATTTTAAGAAAGTTATTGATAAAGTCATTATGGAAAAAGATTCCAATCTTCGCAGTGAATATTATTGAAATAATTAGTAGACTTTATTTGATTACTATATTCGAAACTGCTAATAAATTTTATTTATATATTTGGGGTTCCTTCAAACGATAATTAATCGTTTAGGGTTCCGTAGTAGTAAAAATTTATGAACCGCTAGAGTAGACATTAAGTTGAAATCAATTTTAGGAATTCATTTGACCATTTTTACGACATATTCATTCTACAATTATTTTTAATCAATTGCAAATAATTAAAACACTTCATTTTCTTGATCTTTTTTAACTATTTCATGCTTAACTATCTTGTTTCACTAGTTATTTGTCTGGAATGTGGTTACCTGGTCATGTTTCTAACTTTGAAATAAAAACGCGTTAACAAATCTTGTGAACTTTACCCTTGCATTGTTTGTCATAGGGATCGAACTTCAGATCGCGATCTTTACATCTGCAGAAAGCGTACGCTGTTAAACCGTGGTTGTGGTAGTAGTCGCAGGTCACGTTGTTGCTCGTGCCGCAGTCCACTACCTTGTTGTAACAATCATCGATCACTTGGCAGTGTTCTCCACTGGTGCCCTCGATACAGTGACAGGAACGCTTCTTCTCAATATGGCTGAAATCTTGACAGGGCTCCCACGTGATGCACTTATCTTGACATTGACCGAAAGGTAAACAATCCTCGCTTGTCCGACACTTATCTGAAATATCAAGCGAGTGAGCAGCCATAAGCAAGAAAAGAAAAAAAATATCTAATAAATAAGATATCTATTAAATAGAAGCATTTAGTAAGTAAAGCAAAATCTAATTTAAGCATAAATTATTTCCATTCAGATATGCATTTTCAATTGACATAAAAATGAAGCTTTAAGCTTGCTGATGTTTATAGTTTGGCGCGAAAGTTTCATTAAACAGATTTTTCATATTTTTCTCTCCTTTTTTTGTAGAAATTTAAGTTAAAGAAAACTAAAAAATATTATATTTAACATTTAAAAAAATTATAATTATGAAATTTAGCCCTTGACACCAGTATTGCTTTCTACGTTAGATGCATAATATTCCAAACCCAACTCTGTTCCAAATAATAATTTTTGAAATTTACTGTTACTTAGAGCTAAGAGAAATAGTAAGAAGTTTAGAAACAATTGAACGCATATTAATCTTTTTTATCAAAGATTTAACGGCTATAGAACCAAATTCTTCCCTAAAACTATTGCAATGAAGATAATAGACAGATTTTGAAGGCATCCAGAAGAAATAATCAATTTAGCTCTCTGCCTATGTATTAACTTGTAATTGCTGTAAACTGATATGTAACTCACAATGTACCATTTATATCTACTTGCGTACTTAATCTCTTCGTTTGTGTCATTTGTTTCACTTTATTGTAAGTTTTGTAAATGTGTCAAATATTGTTTGTGTTAATTTTTTTGTAATTTTCTAGTTCAGTCAGGACTGCTTACTTTTTACTCTTTATGGGAGTATTTCTTCTGGTGATAGCGAATTTTACCTTTATGATTCACGGTTTAGTAAATTTGATTGAAACTAATTTTATTAAGTTTTTGAAATTACACCACTGTCAGTAAATGATTCAAAAGTCCATATAAAAATCCAACTTGTTCCAGTTCTTTACAGGGGCCAATAAGTGGACTCCCTGGGGACTCACTCGCCGAGTGATACCGCATGTCAAACGCTGTGCGAGGCGTGGAGGTAACGGGTTTCAATTCCGCCGTTTCCCTTAATATATCTTCAAGCTGTATTTTGCAATCCTTCTGCTTGACAAAGGTTTTCAAACCTTAACTAAGCACACAAGTATGTTGTACCAATAAACCAATTCAGTTCTCTAGAGGCAAGATCTCTGAAATGTTGGTAAAATCAACCAACTTTTTATTTAATTTACTTTTTTATTCTGCACCACTCTAAGAGTTCCGGTGTAGAATTATCATAAAGACATAGTTCCCAGTAGAACATTAAAGTCAAGCATCATTGGTTGTGGTCAGTAAGCAGGTTTGATCAGCCTGCGTAGATACCGAGAGTGAGTGATATCGGTCCTCGTTATACTATTCTACCGTAAAGTGCTCGACTTCTCGCGCAGGTCGTCGGGCTACTAAAGCCTTCTGCAGAGGATCGAAATTACAATGACATGTCTTTGGATCATCCTCAGGGATGTTTCCCACACATTCTCAAAATAGACCATTGTACAGTTCTAGAGTGACGTAAATGAAGTACTTTCCAACGTACCACTCTATGAAATATTTTTCAAAAATCATAGTGATTGGCACAGTGTTGCCGATCTGATAACACTTATTCAAAAAATAATATATATTAAAACAATTAGTCTGTAAGCGTTGGCAACCACTATTTCCTTTCGTATACTTCTTTATGGCAAGCATTATTATTTAAACAGCAAGGAGCTTAAGAATATAATTTTTGCTTCAAACTAAGGGTCTAATGCACTCTTGCCTCGAGTTGTGCTTCTTTGCCTCAAGTTTTCAGTCAAAATTTCAATACATTTATTTTCAAATGAAGGAACATCAAAACTTACTTCGTTCGACGCATCTTTTTTGCGGCCAATCAAATCTCTGGTTCCGATTCTTGCACTGACAATAAGCTCGCATCAGAAATTTATTATAACTGCAGATAACGCCATCTCCATCACCGCAATAGTTGGGATTGTCGATACATTCTTCTATTCTCTCGCAGTAGTCTCCACTTGTCCCAAATTTACATTCACAGTAATGCGGTTCCTTTCCATCCTCCTCGTGATTAGCATTTAGACAGTCTGCCCCGTTAAAACACTCCTTATAAGATTTGCAGGGCTCTGAAAGAGAAATGAAAGGTTCTTTTGAGGCGCATTATCAATAACTAATCATCAGTAATCCCATCCACACAAAAACATTGCTCATTAATAGGAAATAGATTCAAGAAAAAGGTTACATTCAGGTCATTTGAAAAGCATAATCATTAACTTATCATCAGTACTCCCATCCAAAGAAATTTGCTTAGTAAGAGATGGATTTGAAAAAGAAATTACATTCAGGTAATTTGAGACACATGATCCTTAATATCCTCATCAAAAAATGAATAATAGGAGATGGATTCAAAAAAAAAAGTTACGTTCAGATCACTTTTGTGACGCATAATCAGCAACTAATCATCAGTTACCTCACCCAAAAATTTTTAATTGGGAATGGATTAAAAAAAAGGTTAAATTTGAGACACTTAATCATCAGTAACTGATTATTCAGGTCATAATCAGTAACTAATCATCAGTTACTTTATCTAAAAATTATTAATAGGGGATAGATTCAAGAAAAACGTTGCATTCAAGTCATTTGAGACGCATAATCAACAACTAATCATCAATAACCTTTTCCAAAAAACGATTAACAGTGGATGGATTAAAAAAAAAGTTACATTTGAGAAGCCTTATCATCTGTTACAGCTACCAAAAAAATGGTTAATACGACCACAAATTCGAAAGAAAGCTTACATTCAGGTCACTTGAGATGCATAATCATTAACTAATTAACTAATCATCTGTCACTCCACCAAAAAACATTATTAATATTATGTTGATTAAAAAAAAGGTTTCAATAACATATTATAAAATAATTATTATGTTGCTAGAAACATATTTCAGATTGGGCAAAAATGGCTCCAGTTGTCTGACAGCCTTAGTGTGGTTAGCTTGTGCATACATGTCATGCGGTAGTCTTAAAATCCCACAATGCCTTAGGGAGTAAAGAAATAACAATAATGGTTAAGCTGAATTTTAAAATTTAGCCAATACTTAAATCAGGGATGTCAGTAGTAAGAGCAGGCATCGGTGCGGCGGAAGTGATGGGCAGTCAAGGGGTGCTTATTTCTGCCCCAACCGGAAGTTGCTTATTTCTGCCCACCCATAAANCCGATGCCTGCTCTTACTACTGATGTCACTGACCATTAAAAATATAAAAAGTGGTGAATAGCAAAAATTTGTTAGAAGAGATTAAAATAAGCTACTTTTCTAACAATTTTTTCCTATTGAATGTAAAGGCAAAAAAAAAAATGTTTTTTGAATATGAATAATTTGCGATATAAGTTATGTTAGTAGTAATGATTGTCCTGCAGTGGACAGATCGTTAAGACACGGTTTCCAGCAGGGCACTAAACCACCTCTTTCATAATTGGTGATGCTGTGCCGTAAAAGAAATTATAATAATAAAATGAAATAAACAATATTTTGTAAATAATCTTTAAAATTTGAAATAAAGTTTCACATCTCCCACCACTTCATCTTATATTTAATCACCTCCCCCCTCCCTTTTTTTAAAAAAAAATTATTGCGATACTTGTAAACTATTCCTTTGTTATTTTTGTAACTGATAACAACGTAGAATAATTTTTTTCTCTGTTACATGATATATTTCAAATGGATCTTGAATACTTTTGCGCGGCTGATTTTAAATCTGCAATCGGTTTATCTCTACAAGTTATAGTTGTATAATACTTTCCTAACGAGGAGTTTTTAAAATTTGTTCCAGTCAATACTAAATTCCCCACTTCTCTGCAACGAAGGGAGTGGTAGGAAGAAGGTGTTTCAGTTTATGAAGCGATACTATAAGGTGATATAGTTTGTCTTAAGTGTTATTTTGGAAGGAGCAGACAACTACATATATACGTAAATAAACTTGTACGTTCTTTGTAAACTTATACATTCAGTCAAAAATTGAACAAACTAAGAATATCATTTTAGAAGAAAAAAACTGAACAAAACTGAATTCAAGTTGGAAGTAACCACACCCGAATCAGGTAAGATCAAGAAATCTTATAAATGCAACAAATTTTTTTTATCCAGTGTTATGAGTTGTGCAGGCACATTTTGAAATATTCTTTACTCTGCGATGCAATACATTGATATTTAAGGTTGTTTTTCGAAGACTCCGCCGTTGTATGAAATAATACTTTTTTTGTGAATAATGTGCCATTTTAATTACTGCTGTGAGTTTGCAACAGTTACTCATGACTGTTCGGTTTAAGGTTAGCCAAGACTTTTCTGTCAAGTTTAGGGCTGTCAACGCTTATTTTGAAAATGGCGCAAAATGTCAATGTGGAAAAAAGTCCCAGTTTTGGGGAGCGATTGTAGATTGTAGCGATTGTAGTGTAATTTTTTAACATTTAAAAACCTACTGCATTAACTGGATTCATAAAAGGTTGCAAAAACTGAGAATAAGGCAGTGATTTTTGTAATTTTCATCTAGGTGAAAATGTCGCCAAACTGGCAATTTTAAAAAAAAGTTAAATAACTTTTAAAATACAATTTATTTGACCGTGCTGCAGCCTAAATAATTTGTTACGGCAAGTTTATATATAGAGCTTAAAATCATTGGATTGCTTCCAGTGTAAAGCATTTAAACTATGGCTTTTATTATTTTTCTTGGTGAGGAGTTTCGAAAAACCATATTAAGAGAAATATCGAGAAAAAAGAAGAATCAGGTATGTGAAAAGTAAAGCTTAAATAATGTTCTCAAAATCTGGAAAAATTTCCTGTAATTATGGAATCATATTTTCGAGTTTGAAGATGGTTTGAAGGCCAAAACAAAATAAATAAATAGAAAACTGTATTTTAAACAGCAAAGTATGTTCCTTTTTCTTGTATTTCAAAATTTAAAATATTGCCTGACATAATAAATTTGCTTTATGATTCAAATCATACTTACTTTGATCTACACATGTTTTAGTGGGAATGTCGAATCTCTTCCCGAATGTCCGACATTCGCAGATGATCCTCTTCTTCTTCCTGTGGAATCCACAGGAGACATCCGGATCATTGCCACACATACCCGGATTGTCGACACACTCATCGATGATGTCACAATTTTTGCCACTAATGCCTTGAAAACACTTGCAATACTTTCCTCCAAAGTTACCTTGACAATCACACAGGAAGTTACAATCTTCTCTTGACGTGCAACGACCTGAGCAACAACGTAAACAGCAATCAGTGCAAATATCATTTTTTGTGAAAGAAAAAGAGTTTCTATTGCATTGTGTACTTACAAACGTAAACTCTTTGTAAACAGAATAAGTGTCTCAGGGTTAAGTGATTTTCCTTCACTTCACACTTTTCCCCTCACCTCACCGTCACCATAATTCAGCAAGTCTTGCTGTTTCTCATCTCTAGTATATTCCAACTTGTTACTGAAACGTACTGCCATGGAGAAAAAGTAAGATTTGCCAAAACCGAAGAGGGGGAAAATGTGAAGAGTAGGGATACCGCATAACCTTGAGACGCCTTTTCTATTTACAGAGATAATTTTTTTTTTAATTTAGAGAAAAACATAAGCCAAAATTTTACCTGTGTCTTCTTTGTTTCCACTTAATACTTTTAAGTCCATGAGATAAATGTCACTCACATTTCTTTCAGCACCAACCAGCTGAAACATGAAATAAATTATGAAACAATTTATTAGCAAGAGTGACGTATTCACCCCCATGTTCAAAAAGATAAAACTTTTAAATTTGTATATATTTCAGTTCAATTTATGAAAAGAGAAATGAAATTGTATAATTTCCTTTAAAAAAGTTGCTTTTTGTTTTTTTAATATGAAAAGAACACTTTGTGCCAAAAAGAAATATGAGATCGGATAATATTTTGTTTTAACTTTAAGAAAAATAAGAATCAAATTTATATCAACTGATAAAAAACGATTTCCTTTATCATACTCTTGATAACAGAATTATTCGTCAAAATTTTTCACATGGGTTTTATTGAAAAATATAGAAGAAAAAAAGATAAACAGATGTTGTTTACGATAGATTTTAACTCGATTGGAAAGGTATTTCATAAATTGCGACGGTTTTAAAATGAAGATTCAAACTTACTGAAAGTGATAAATGAAATATGTAGGAAATATTTTCGATATTAAATTAGATTTCTCCAAATAATACCATCTCATAATACTACAATACATTAAAATTCCGATTGTTACACAAAATGCTTCGCATTGGTAGCCTTATACAAAAATTTCCAGAAAAATAGAAAAATAATTTTATTTTATTTTATGATCAGAATTGAAAAGTCGACTCAATTCTGAGTTTACGACTGTCAATGTTCAACTCCATAGCCTTATAACTTTGAACCAAATCCAAAAGACGAAGGAATTCTTGGATCAAGTATTGGAAGAAATTTACCTGTGTGGAGAACTTTTTAAAGGAACTAGCCCACATTTACGTTACATGGAGAGGGAAACCACTCGCGGTTGGGAGACTCTAACCTATAACCCGTTTACCACTGAGGATATTTTATGTTAAGAACGTGACCGGTGCAAGCCGGTAGCGGAATGAGTATTGACCAGCCATCGCTTGGATTCAAATCCAGATCACCTCATTGGGAGGCAAACGCTCTATCCCCTGAGCCACCACGACTTAGAATTTCATAAGATTTTAGAAGAAATGCAAAAACTGTGTACATTAAAAAAAGTTATTTTTAAGGAGGGAATTGTGTAAATAAGGAGACAAGCAAACATTACGTAAGCACCTGAAAGTAGGAAGAGATTTATTCTAGCTGACAAGGGGGGGCGTACTTTAAAAAGACGTTAAAATTACATATTTTTCAAAACTTGTCTTAAAATGCAAAAATATTTCAACAAAAAAATTTGGAGCAAAAAAAATTTTCTTGTTGAAAAACCTAAAATTTGTAATAAAAGCTATGTTTGGAAAAAAAATTGGACAAAAATTTAGAGGAGTTTTGGAGGTCACGAGTCTTATCAACAGAATTTAAAACAAAAAAAAAGTGATTCTTAAATAATATTTAATCTCAAAATTTTATGAAATAAATTTAAACACTGGGTTGATTTGTACGAAGTTACATCGCTTATTTGAAGTTAATCGGAAAATTAAATCACTTCAGTTATAGCAAAGGGGTGCTGCAACTTGCTCTTTACATAAGCACTCTCCTCCTGTACATATATACTTAAGCATTGTTTCAACGTAAGCATCATACATGCTTGCGTATGCAGCCTGGGGGATAGTAATTTGCTTATTTTTGCAGACAAAAAGAGAACGGGAGTTAAAAATTGATAAATAAAACTTACGTACGTAATTTTTTAACGGTCCTTAATAGCGAAATAAAATGAAACAAAAATAAATCTCTTTTATATGTATAGTATCGGCTAAAGGTATTCCCATTTGAGGCGAAAATAGAAAAGATCTTATTTCAGGTTTTAAAGGATAAATAGGTGGTTGATTTATTTAGTTTTCAGCTGTACATCTTGAGATTTCCATAATTGGCTTATAAGCCTACCCCCTTTACTCTGAAGAAGAAGTGTTTACTAAGTTCAACTAAGTTAAAACTATCAAAGAAAAAATCCCTTCCCTTTAAATCAATACATTTTTTTTTATATAAAAGTGACTTAATGAGACATGAATTTCAATTTAACGAGATTATTCGACTATTATTATAACAAGGATATTATAGGAAAAGATCAGAGTTGAAAATACCGAACAATTGCATTTAATCAGAAAAAAATTAATAATAATAATAATAATGTGAGGAATATTTTTTAAAACAGTAGGCACTAAACTCTTCTTCTTCGCCTTGAAAGATGACGCAAGTGTTGCTCATTTAACGTTACCGGGTGTGCATCTGAGAACCTTATAAGTCACGGAGGCGAGCAGCACATAGCCACGGATACCCGTTCGTTGTGGGGGGGGCACATTCCCACGTCACGCATTAAAGCAACGTCATACGGTTGTTTCTTTTTCAAAAACAAATATTTCCCAGGGCAAGGATTCCAGTAAGATTGCGAAACTATACCTTTTTTTATTCAATAGTTCTATGATATGTATCCTAAAAGAGAGCACGAATTCAATTTCCATCTGCCATGTTTCACTTTTAAAAGCTTTTATATTGTTTTGAAAACATATTTGTACAATATCACAACGAAATAGAACGGAGCTATCTGCAGTCGCTGATGATTACTTAAATCGTTAACCGCGATGATCTTTTCTAAACCCTTTAGCCTACAGTGGCATGACAGCGAAACCGCTCTTTTTAAAAAAACTTTCCTAAGCGCACAATGGTCAATCTCTGAAACCAATACTTTTTAAGTAATATTTTAACTTTCCTAATCATCACTAGATAGCACCACTACACTTAGATTATGTCTTCCTTTCAGAAAAATGAGAAGTTTTCAATACATTTTTTCTTTACTTCAAAAAAAAAATTTTTTTTGCCCCATAAAATACGAAAAAATTTTGAAATATATTACTCAAATTTGTTGTTTGTGAGCTCCTTTAAACATACAAAATTTTCCCCAATAAAGATTCCAAAGAAAAGTAATTAATTTTTACATTTATTTTTCTTGGTTTCAGAGGGAGACCACTGTGCCCCTAAAACGTACGATATTCCAACCAGCGCATGTCCTTTTCCCCCCTTTCACTCATTCAGATAGTAAAGTTGATCAAAATTTATTAGGGTTTTTCGTTAGCATGGGGCTTATGAAAGGAATAACATGTGTCTTTTATCCATGTTTATTGAAAATAATGCCAATTACCTCAAATTTCTTATCTGAAACAAATTTGTTCTTCTCATTTGTGTTCTTTTTGAATTAGTGAACAGTCATATTGAATTGATGCTAAATTAATTTTTTTATTACTAATTTTTCTGCATTTTGCTTGTCTTAAAAATTAAAAATTTAAGCAATTTTTTTATTATTATTATTTTGTATTGTTGATTTTCAATTACGAGATGAGAATTTAATTCCTTATAATGGAAAAGTTCTACAATATATATAGTAGAGAATGCCGCAGTAAGATATTTACTTTTTATTAAATTTCTATATATATTTTATTTTCATTATTATATATCTCTGTATTATTTATTTCATCATAATATTGTATAATATATATTATATTTGTATTATATTTTATTTCTTAGAACATTCTTGGTGTTTAAAATTCATACGTTTTATTTGCACTATTATATATTTTGTATTTTATTACATATTATATTATATTTGTTAAAGCCTTTTTTCGAGTTTAAAATTATATAAATGATTTTAGGATTTAAGTTTATTATTCCGTTCCAATAAAGTTACAATTTATTGTAAAAAATGTTAAAACGCAAGTTAAAAAAACATTATTTTCTTATCAAGCGAAAATGTTCTATGTGGACAGCGGTTAACAACTGAAACCACCATCCCCCTTGTGGGACAATGAGTCAGAATTTTTTTAAAGTGTAATTTTCCCATTCTTAGACCCTATGCATCATAATTAGTTCCTCAATTTTAAAAAAAACATGAAAATTTGAATTCGCGTGCCTCAAAGGGCTTGCAACGGAGTATAATGGATATTTTTTGGACAGAGATAAACTCAAAACCCCGATAATAGAAATCGAGATTAAATTTTAGCAGGTGAAATACCATAACTGTATCCGTTTAATTTATTCTTTTTTAACGGTGGACATTGAAATTATAGCTTAGGAAGATGACGGAGGTGTCAACGTTACCTGAATGGGCACCTGTGAACCTAGTCACTGAGGCGAACAGCATTATCCAAGCCACACTGCCACCGACAGCCGTTCATAGGGTGGGCCACATTCCCACGTCACGCAATTTCATACAGAGAGAAACATCTATATGCCCTGAGCAGGATTCGAACCCGCAACCGTTGGCCTCGCAGTCAGTCATGCCGATCGCTCGGCCACCAAACCGACAGAATATTAATTTGAGGAAAATAAATATTGATTTAAAATTAAATTAGCTTGAGAAATTAATACAATTAATATAAATTATTTTGCGAAATTGCCAGATGTATATCGGGTAATGATACTTTAACAAAATCAGTGTAGGGAAGACCGGACAAGTGTAAGCCAGGCTAAGACCAATACCTCCTGTATTCACCGTTGACACTATTTTTTGACACTCTAATTCTTAACTTGCATTCCGGTGGGAGATTTATAGCCTTATTAAAAGTGTTTACTTTCAATTTTTGTTGCTATTTTTAAAAAAAAAAATTGTATTGAAAAATATTGCATTGAGTATTTAAATTTGAATCACGCTCTTACTGCATAAGTGAAAAATATTTCGCATTTCACTTTTCTAACTGGTTTGTGACTTGTTTTGGTGAGAAAATGAATCAGAGTTTTATTATTACGAAATTAGATATTTTATTATTATGGATACCATAAAGCCGCACGCAAATGTAACTAAAATTCAATTAAAAATATGCTTTTATTTCGCACAATTATTTCATACTTTTATCTTACACAACGATCAATTGGGCATCCGCGGTTACTCCAATTGGGTAAATCTTCAGGTTAAAATTAGTTAACTCAGGGTTCAGCTGACACTCTCAGTTACAAAAATAATGAAACGAAATTTTTAGAATGTAACCTCGAGTTGCTCTCGTAAAACCTGTTTTGAACTGTGACTGAGGGTTAGTATCCATGGTGAATTCGGGCTTTAGTATAGTTCGTTCACCAGGAGTTGGCACTTGGCTTCGCCTCCATCACGTGGTATGTGACAATACTATTTCGCTATTTTGGGGGAAAGGTTGTGAGCTATCCTGAACAAGGTTGCTACTTGGCGATCGTATGGGAGAAAAAAAATATTTATTTTCCAAACTTTATGTGCATTTTTTAACATTA